AAATTATGTTACCTGTCAACACAAGACGGTGCATACAGTACTGATCAATACGCCTCGCTTTCTGAGTCATCTGCACATTTGGAGAGCTATGTCGTATTGAGGGAGACATACCTAGGTACTGAGCAGACAACTAAAATGTCGGGGTTTGAGCTAATTACACAGGGATTATAGATTGCAGATAACATTAACTGTACTCTATATACCACATGCCATGGGTGTATATCTTTATTTCGACATGCAATACTCCGGGGAATACACCTGCAAGTGAATGAGTAAGCACCATCGAGCAGATGGGTAAGATTCATATCCGTAGCCTACGGAATTAAAGTCTTGATGTTGTAATGTAAGTTGTTATGAGCGCTCAAGCAGACCAAAGTCGCATCAACTTGTCGAGATACACTAACGGAATATGCTGTCGTAAACCCGGTCGTCGGCTGTTGGAACAGCATTCAAAGATTTCCGCAAGCGTATCTTCAAATTTCAATCTGGCATACAGGCACGCGTCTCCCCGCACCCCGCACCGCCATCTGAAGCAGGTACAGGTTTTGTCTGGGCAGGAGTACTGCAGTAGTAGCGTACAAGGATTGTAGTGAATTAATTGGGTCGACTCCTATTGGCTCTGGGCACTCTCGGTAAAAAGTAAACCCATGATCCTTGCATCTTACCAGGAGACTCGGGCCTAGAGACCGTTATTAATGATCAACAGGGGGAAGAGAAGGTTGTCGATCCGCCTGTTGGAAGAGGTTTAATAAGTTTAATAAGCAAATAAGCCTTTTTCGTGTGTAAAGGCGAGCTATCGGAGGCTTCCGTCCGTTAACAGAAACCTCCTATGTAGCAGACAGCTATTGACTGATACGTAGAAAAACCGATTCTACCGCAATACCCACGGATACTCTACCTCTACCCCAGTGTCAAGGTCGTGCCACAATCTAAAGTTGATGCCGTCGAGTTTGCTAGCTCGGAGATTCCCCACACATGAGCGGAAAAACGTGTGAACGTACCGACTGCCATTGTCTTCTGCGCTGCATAGGCAGGTAGGCACTGCTCCATGCATGCATTATACGGGCCCAACTGCAATTATCATGTACCCCAGGAAACCTCACTTCCCGGGTGCATGGAGTGCCCAGAGGTCCACCGCACTAACGATGAAATGAACCATACGATTCTCCTCGCCTCTTCATCTATCACTCCTTTCTAGCCATAGGAGATCTCAGGATTCAATATAAGAAGCCCATTGATCCCCTATGATCTCCCGTACCATCTCTCTCAAGCAAGCAAGAGACAGACGACCCACTCAACCCACCAAATCCACCAACCAAATCTGGTTCCGGTGATAGTCTTTCCTTTACTGAGTCGCCAATATGAAAATCTCTTTCTTCTACCTGTTGTCCGTGTTGGGTCTGACTAGTTCAGGTAAAAAAATATTCCTCATATATTAGAAACCGTGTTATACCCACCCGTGCTGATCCTTTCTCGGCGTGAATGATAGTACTCGCACAGTCAACAACTGAATACACCGACCCCGAGACGGGGATAATCTTTCAGCGTTTCCTAACCAGCTCATATGGGGGCTTCAGTTTTTCAGTCGTCTTTCCGAGCACACCAACCAATGAGTTTATTGGGCAGATTGTGAGTATCATTATTACTATTGATGATAAATTAAAGTGCTGATGGTCTATAGGTCGGCCCCATCGGAGGATGGTCCGGTGTCAGCTTTGGTGGAGGCATGAACGGCAACCTTCTCAGCGTCGTGTGGATGAACGGAAATGAAATTGTCCAGTCGTTCCGCATGGCCTCGTAAGTCTCCCGGAGAGCAGGTAGCAATAGAAAAGCAGTGCTGATAGTCCCCCAGTGGCTACCTTGAGCCCACAGTCTACTCTGGCACCGCCTCCAGCATCCCCCTCTACACCAGCTCCAATGCCACCCATTTCTCCTACACTTTCCGCTGTGTCGACTGTGTGACCTGGACCGACGGTGGCTTCGACCCCACTGCCGACTTTACTGTTATGGGATGGGCTCAGAGCACCGCCCCTGTCGATGATCCCACTGATCCTGCCTCCACATTTGAGGAGCATCAAGGGTTCGGTCAGTACGGTGTTATACTTACAAGTGCGAGACAGGCAGGGTATGAGGGGTGGCTTGCAGCTGCACCGACGCCCACTGCGGTCCCAACTACTACTAGTGCAGTCAGTACTACCGCACCCACGGCGACACCCACAAGCACAACGGTGCTGGGCACGTATGATTATATTGTTGTTGGTGGTGGTGCAGCAGGGTTGGTTGGTAAGTTGATCATTGACCCTTCTATATCAACGACGTAGTAAGGCAGCTAGCTAACTGATATCTATGATAATAGTTGCGGACCGTCTTTCTGAAACCGGGAAGAGCGTGCTTCTGATCGAGCGCGGTCCACCAAGTACCTACAAGTCCGGAGGCACCGTTGGACCCGCCTGGCTGGCAGGAAAGGGCCTGACACGCTTCGATGTGCCGGGTCTCTGCAATCAGATTTGGGTAGACAGCGCTGGTATTGCATGTAACGACATTGACCAAATGGCCGGTTGCGTCCTCGGCGGTGGGACAGCCGTCAATGCGGGACTGTTCTTCAAGCCCCAGGACAGAGACTGGAACGATAACTTCCCCACCGGATGGAAAGCCACTGATATGGTCTCTGCGACCAACAAAGTCTTCACACGTATTCCCGGCACTGATAACCCATCTAGCAATGGCGTACGCTATCTGCAGGCGCCTTACACCGTTCTCTCCAGCGTCCTAACGACCGCCGGGTGGTCAGAGGTCACCGCAAACTCGGTCCCCAACCAGAAGAACCGCACATTTTCCCACTCGCCATTCATGTACGCCAACGGCGAGCGTGGTGGGCCCCTCGCAACATACCTCCAGACCGCAAAGGCCCGCTCCAACTTTGCCATCGCCGTCAACACAACCGTCATCAAGACTTTGCGCACCGCCGGCCACATCACCGGTGTGCAGGTGACACCCTCCTCCACAACCGTCGGCGGGAAGATCGGAGTCTACAACGTTACCCCCACCACTGGCCGTGTGATTCTCTCTGCCGGTACCTTTGGGACACCCAAGATCCTCTTCCGCTCCGGTATCGGCCCCACCGACCAGCTGAACGTCGTCAAGTCCTCTCTGGAGGGCGCCGCGATGCAGACAGAGAGCGAGTGGATCCGCCTCCCAGTGGGTTATAACGTCCTCGACCACACAAACACGGACATGGTCTTTAGCCATGCGAGCGTCACAAGCTATGACTTCTACGCCGCCTATGACAACCCAAACACCACCGACATGAACCTCTACCTGAACCAGCGTGCCGGCATCCTCGCCACCGCCGCACCGGGCCCAAACACCATGCTCTGGGAGTCCTTCCTCGGCACTGACGGCATCACTCGCCAGCTGCAGTGGACAGCCCGCAGCGAGGGCTCGCTCGGCCAGGAGGGCACCAACCTCGTCACAATGTCGCAGTACCTGGGCACCGGCGTCACCTCGCGCGGACGCATGACAATCACCAGCTCGCTCAACATGCAGATCAGCACTTCTCCGTTCCTCCGCGACGCGGCCGACATCGATGTGGTGGTAAGGGGTGTCCAGAGCGTGCTCAACGCCGCGAGGGACAAGGGCGGCATCACGTTCATCAGGCCCGCGGCGGGCGTCACAGCGCAGGAGTATGTGAACTCATATGTCGACAGCAGACGTTCGAACCACTGGATCGGGACCTGCAAGATGGGCACCGACTCTGGGCTTTCGGGCGATGGGACAACTGGGAGTGTCGTGGACACCAACGCGAAGGTCTACGGGACCGACAACCTGGTTTGTGATCCCCTTCCTTCCTTTTGCTTCTCTTCCCTTCCTTTTTTTCATTTCCTCCTCTTCTTCTTCCGCCTTCCGTGATAAGACAAGACTGAATGACTGACTGATAAAAAACCCGTAGTTCGTCGTCGACGCCTCCATCTTCCCCGGCCACGTCACCACAAACCCGTCCGCACCCATCATGATCGCGGCCGAGAAAGCCGTCGAGAAGATCCTCGCCCTCGCCACCCCCACCACAACCACCAGCAGCGCCTCCGGGAGCGCGACCGCCGTCCCGCGGTACAGCCAGTGTGGCGGTATCGTAAGTTTTTCCCTCCCTCTGTTTGTGCTTGATGTGGTGTGTGTGTTTGTGATGCTAACGGTGGGCGATTAAAAACAGGGATACCCGGGATCAACCGTGTGTGCGAGCCCGTATGTGTGCACTGTCCTTAATGATTACTATTCGCAGTGCTTGTAGTTGGTTAGTTAGTTTAGTCAGTGGTTGGCTAGTTGTCTCTCATTGTTTGGTTTTGTTTTGGTTTTGGTTCTTACGTTCTTGTATACTTATCTTGGTTATATATCGAATCCTTCTTTGTGTGCCTTTGTTGTGTTCTTGTGTGCAAACAACTGTTGGATGCATGTGATACCTGAGTTGCAAAAGATTCCACACCCCACCACAATCACTTCAGACGTTGAATCCCTCTGAGCGCATGTCAATGACCACAAACACACCTTTCCAGAAACCCTAACCCTACCACCCAAGTTCAAAAGTAACATAAGCGAACCACCCCACCGAAAAACGAATTTTGCAACCGAGAACCATAAAAAAGACACCAAAGTGAACGAGTGTGGGTATTGGGAGGTGAGAAAAAAAATTGTAAAGTCAAGCTCTGAGACCGATTTGAACGATCGACCCTGCGATCTGCAATCGCATGCTCTAACCCCTGAGCTACCAGAGCTGCTTGGTTTAACCGGGTAATTTGCGCGCTGAAAGAGTTCACAGCTATCTTTTCACAGTTTACCCGGCCGGCTGGCTGACTGGCGGGAGCAGAGAGGCGCCGAGTGATGGGTTGTGCTTAATTATTTACTTTTGCGTCCACATTTCCAAAAGGTCACTCGACTGCCCCCCTAATAACCTACATACACGCAAAGACACCACATCCACATCTACAACCATCTACATACAAGCCCACTCACAGCTTCGCACCAGGCACCCCCCTCCCCGCAACCCGACAACACTCCTCCGCCAGCCCCCTCACCGCCGCCACCTGGCGCTCCGTCGCCCCGTTCGTGACCGCGCCCTTGACATGGCCCCTCAGCTGGGGATCCACGTCCTGCGGCACCAGGCCCGCGACAACAAGCAGGCTCGTGTCGCGCGCGCCGAGCACCGCCGTGTTGCTGAGCACGTGCGCGTAGAGGAGTTCGGCGACGACGCCGAGGTCGTCGTAGGCGTGGACCATGCTGCCCATGACACGGGGGGTGACCTTGCCGTAGAGGGTGCTGAAGAGGGCGTTGCCGCGGGCGAGGAGGGGGTGCGGCGGGGAGGCGAGGGCGGCGCGGCGGGAGGTGGGGGAGGGGAGGTGCAGGTGGGGGGGCGTGGCGGTGGAGAGGGCGGTGAGGGCGTTGATGGTCTGGTGGCTGGGGGGTTAGTATGGTATAGAGGCGGGGGTAATGCGGGGGTGGGGTGTCCGCGGAATGTGTTGGGATAGGACCGGGGGGGGGGGAGCGAGAACGTACCACCGGCAACCCGCAAATAACCACACTCTTCAACAGCGCCTCCCTTATCTTCCGATGTATGACGAGCGCACTCTCCCTTCCCTCTTCTTCCTCCTCCTCCCCCCGCTTCCCCGCGCCGCCCGCCGCCAGCTCCCTGCGGACATAGTCCTCCTCGGCGCTGCCCGGGATGGCCACGTTCTCGAGCGCATAGCGCCAGACGCGCGGGATCTCGTCGGGCCGGTTGAGGGCGGAGAAGGCGACCGAGGCCAGGAAGTAGAATGTGTGCCGGGGCAGCGCGGGGTTGTGGTGGAAGGCGCGGAGGAGCTTGTGGGTTGCGAGGGCGGCGGCCGGGCGGGACATTGCGGTGTGTGCGGTGTGCGGTGTGCGGTGTGCGGCGGTGGGGGTGGGGGTGGGGGTGGAGAGCGGCGACGGCGGGTGTTGGGTTTGTGTGTATAGCTAGCTGCACTGGGCGGGCGGGGAGGCGATGATGGTTGGTCAGTGGGTGGGTGGGTGGGTGGGTGGAGGACTGCAGCTGCGCTTTGGGGAATCCGGGAGGTTTGGTTTGGTTTGGTTTGGTTTGGTTAGCTGTTGTGCCGGCTGCAGGCAAGTAAGGTAAGTGTACTTTAGAACCTCGGCCCGACCCGCGCGCACCCATCGATATCGATATCGATAACTGTATCTCGATATTGTCTATCTCTGATCTCTATCTCAATCTAAATATACATAAATATAAATATAAATATATATCCGTGCCTAGGCCTGTGCTCCCCACCACTGCACACTGCACCCACCCATCCATCCATCCATCCATCCATCCATCCATCTAGACTCTAGAGCATTCTTCACGCATTAATTAATCTTCACCCATATTGATCGCCCCACCACCCCACCCAACGTCCCACCTCCGCGCCCCCCTCCCCCCCCCCCCCAGATCTATCGATGGCAGTTGATGGAGCTGCCACACGGAGGTAGCCAGGTAACTAAAAAGCAATTACCTAGGTACTACTACTCTACTCTGCCATGTATGAAGCTAATTAATTAGTTAGCCCCTGAGTGCTGATGAATCATGATGGGGCATGGCATGGGATGGGAAAGAAACGATGCGTCCTGCAGATCACTTGCAGTCACTCGCATCGTCGGATTCTCACATCTGAGTTAGATAACCTTTTTTTTCTTTTTTTTCTTTTTCATAACCCTCACTTCTAATTTTTCTGGACTCGCTTTTCGTAAGCTAGTGTCGTCATCCCTCCCTCCCTCCCTCCCTCACTTATAATAATTACTGGTCTCATATTTCTCGCGTGTGGCAAAAAATATACATGTAGGTACTCTATATTGCACTGCACCATGATCTGAGCGGGAACATTAATTTTTCAATGCAAAAAAAAAAAAAAAAAAAAAAAAAAAAACCAAGGCTGGTGGTGGCCCTTTAATTCATCTAGATAGTCCGTCCCCATTGTCCCTTCTCCCGATTTTCTCCCCACTCAAGGAAAAAAAAGCACAGAAAAAGCAAAGATACTAGTAAACCCAAAATCCTCAAAGCCCCCCCCCCCCCCCCATATGCCAAATGTGTTTTTTTTTTTTTTTTCTCTCGGAACATTGTGAATTCATATCCACATCCCCCCCCCCCCCCCCAAAACCCCCCAACAGCTCAGCTGAAGTAACATAAATGAAACCCAAAAGAAAAAGGTACACCGTCCCGTTGAAACAATCCCAATCATGCTAATCGTAAAGGAAAAAGGATTTTTTTTTTTTGCTTTGAGGTGGGATCGCAAAAAAATAATCCAAAAAAAAAAAAAAAAAAGACCCGCTCCCAGCCATCGTATCGTCGCTCGTGAGATCAGAAAAACATAACACCGTAAAAGAAAAATGCAACGCCAAAATGAATAAAAAATCGAATCCAAAAAAAAGATAAAGGAAATAAAAAGGGTTAATACAAAAATAATAGACATAGAAGGATGAGATAAAAGAAAAAAAAAAGAAGAAACGTCAAAAAAATAAAATTTGCAGTATTATCTCGTTTCTCCCACAATCCCACTTGATGTGGACTGTGCAGCCTTGCTGGGCGCGGCGTCCAAAAAGGCCTCTGCGCGCCTCATAGTCCAGAAGTCAAGGTCGGAGACATACGAGTCTCCGCCGAGCGGGGCTCTGACTTCCCACTCGGTGCTCATCATCATCTCATCGCGGCACAATAGCTTCGGTCCGTCGAAAACCATGAGACATCTTCTCTTCGTCACCATCTGTTCTGGCTGGCTCCCCCACCCGGCGGGAAAGTTCTTCCTCTTTCTTGGGCGCGGGCGAGAGGCCGGCTTTTGAATGGAGCCACCCCCGATTACTCGGGAGTGAGTTGATTGTCACCTCGGACGTGACCCACCGCTTCCATTCCCGGAAGCGGGCTTCTTTGCTCCCCCGCGAGTGGCTCGCTTGGAGCCATTGCGTCCAAGCTTGCCGGTGGACTTGCGGCCGGGTGGGGTAAAGGTTTCATCCTTTCCGTCATCGGCACCGTCTTCACCCTCCTCGGCAAGGTCGTCTTCTTCCTCGACATCTTCCTCGTCTTCCTCCTCCTCATCTTTGTTGAATCGCTTTCCCTTCTCTGAAGTCTCTTCCATGTCTTCTAGCTTGACCGAGTCAAGATTCATTTCGTTGAATGCTGCAGCTGGCTCCTCCTGGACAACCTTGAGCTGCACGCACTCATCCAAATGCTCGTAGAACTGCTGAGCAGTGGCGAAAGTGACCGCGCAAATACTGCACTTTCCGGTGATGTATGCGCCAGAAAAGCGGTCTTCCTCCGTAGGGGACGCAGTGAAAGAACCTTGCTTTGATCCAATCTTCTTGCGGCCGTTTGGAGGCGTCTGCTCGACGTTATGTACAGACATCAAGTGGCGCTTAAACACGTCTGCACGGTTGAACGACTTCTCCACTGCTGACCCGGATCCAGGACAGAACCCGCACACCATTGTTCCCTTGTAGTGTGTCAAAGTGTGTCTTTGGCAGTCATATTTTCTAGCAAATCCCTTTTTCGAGTATTCACATGTTGCGATCGGACACTTCACTGGTCGCTCCAACTGGTGGGTGAGTTGATGTGCCCTGAGATCCCTAAAACTCTTGTTGCACTCTGGGCAGACTGTATCCTTTCCTGATAATCCAACACCGCTGTGGCTGCTTGGGACGCTGGCAGAGCTGCTTGGTGCCCTGGCCCCCCTTGATCGGTGGGACTCGGCACTTGCAGCCCTTTGCAATTGCTGTCCTGCAAAGATTTCACCCTGGACCCCGCTGGGATCCTCAAACCATTCCAAATTACCAGCTCCAATTGGTGATCCATGGGACCTGCGGGAGCCCTGGGACGATACTGATGGCCTTCGGGTTGGGTAAGGAGCTGGGCGCTCGCGTGCTGGGTAAGGTGACAGACGGCCAACGGATCCACCAGATCTTGCTGGCTTGTTGAATACTGGCGACGCAGGGTTAGAAGTTGGAGATGGTGCCGATTGCCAATCGGGTGAGCCATGTGACGAAGCCGAGGCCGGGGCATCATCGTTCAGCTGGTTTGGCGAAGGGATGCTGATGAGCGAAGGGTCGACGCTTCCTGTTGCTGATATGTTCGTTAACAACTGCTCCAGAGAGGTAACAGGAAGCTGGGTGAAGAACGTACCAGTGGGATACTGAGTAGTGTACAGGCCGTCGTCATTGAGGTAAGGTGAGTTGCTGCCAGCTTCAGATCCAGAGATAGCACTTGTGACTGAGGAGTGACCATCCCATCCACCGGCCGAGGTGACTGGAGAAGGGAAGGGGCTTTGCCTGTAGTCTTCCTGAGGAATATTAGACGGATAAGGAAATGTCGGAGGGTGGACTAGGACGCCTGGGGCTGGGGGCATCTCGTCTGCGAAGCTTTCTGAGATCCCGTATCCGGTGTAGGCTGGGTAGTTGTCGAATGATGAGGCCGACGTAGCTGGCGGAAGGTCCATGGGGTAGAATGGCTTGCTAACTGCCTCTTGATGCTGCTGCCGTGTATGTAGATTATTATCTATACTACTTGGGTTCTCTAACATTGCACTCCAATCCACAACTCCACCCCGTGATGCTGATGATGTAACGTAATTATCTGAGTGGATTGGCGCTGAGTGGAATTGAGGGTTGCTCTGGTGAATAAACTGCCGCGAGTCGAAATATATAGGTTCGTTTTCCTCGAATAATACAAAGTCTGTCAAGGCCTCCGGCTTCATACTAGGGGCTATCGACGAGGTAGGTAATGACTGCGAGGTTGCCATTGTTGTGTAATATGTAGTGTTACTGTTGCTGCGAGGGAGGGAGATAACTGAGCTGAGGAGAGACAAGCTGAACTATGCTTGTTTTTCTCGCTCACCTAATAACCGTTTTGTGCGGTTAGCTTTAGAGCTTGATAGACAATAAATGTGATAATCGTTCCTCAGCTGCCAGCCAAACGGGCCGACAACCGAGGTTTACGATAATGGAAGCGAAACTCGAAACCAGCTGAAAAAGTTGTGACATTTCAAGAGAGACATGACGCTACATGACCCGAGAGTTTGGAAGAGTAGGAAACAAGATCTGTGATTCCCCCAAACGTACCTTAAAGATCTCACGAGATTTGCCGCTCGATTGTGTCCTGGGTTCTAGAAGGATGGAAGGCAGACACGAGAACAGAAAAAGTTCGGTGTGGGAGGATGATAATTATATGTGCGAGGCAGATTCTCGAATCTTTAAGTATAAAAAGGAAGCTTTAGTGAGGATGGTTGAATGCCTTGTGATATGCCTTGCTGTCGAAGATGGCGGATTATCTACCTATGTATATGAGTCTGAACCGGGAACTCTGTAGGGCTGGGGTGAGGAAGATTGAATGGAGATCTTCGTGTCTTTTTGTAAGACGGCTTTCGGGCAAAGACGAGTGAGTGAGAGCAGATGCTGCGGCTTCTTTAAATATGGGATGGGCCATGGGGGCTATGAGTGTGGATGGATCCTTCTATGCGACCGGCCCTCGTTTCTGTGCACATATCCCAGCCAGAGGGTGATTGGTTCGCTGCGTGGCATAACGAACAAGATTGGCTTTAATTATTCTCCCTCGCCATACATAGTGGGAGTGCAAGCTGTCTGACTTCCTCCACCACCCCCCCCCCCCCCCCCCGCGCAGCATGCCTGTATCCTGTATGTGTCTGTGTACATACATGTATCTATCGTGGATGGTGGCAGTGTGAGACATGGAGGAAGGGTGCTCAGGGTGAACGGTGTGGTAGTGTTGCTGCTAAGGAAGACTCTCTTAGTGCGTGGGTCCAGGACTCGCTGTTGGCAGGGCTGATGACTAGGCACCAGTCCCCCTGCAACTAGTTGCAGGTCCACCATGAGGAAGTTCGAAGTGGTTTGTCTACATCTCTCCTTTCTCAAAACCGATTTCATAGTACGGTTTCTCAATCAATCCCTTGCAATTAATTTATCCCTCCAATCAACTCAATTCCCATCAGTCACAACTCATCATCTACAATCATCTTCATCATCATCAGCATCATCATCATCATATCACCAACAATACCCTCCTCCCCCCATCATCATCATCATCACCACCACCGAATCGACACCTATCATCTCGTCAGAGTATTATGTACCCTAATGTATACTTTCCAATCCCATGAAACACGAATCTGTAGCCCAAAAAGGAATGAAGGAAGCCCCAACCTGTCCCAATCCAACATATCTTGCATCCTGCAATCCTGCAGTCCTACCAGCTATTCCTCTTTCTCCCTGTTCAGAATCGGTGACCCCCGCATCGCTGGACCCGGACAGGGTTGTTCGCCTATGTAGATGGGACAAATCCTAATCCACATGGATGGTACGATATTTAGCACCGAGGCTTTGCTCACCAGCCTCGCTTGGTGAGGCGCATGCCCTACGGTGTGTGAATGAACAAAGCCAACCAGCTAGGCGGGTATGGGCAAAAGGAAAGAAGAAATCACACTTTACATCACTGTGCGTATCTTCCCATGCTGCACAGCTAAATTCCCATCCCGAACTCGAAAGTCGCATGCGATTACTGAGCCTGTGCAGCAGTGTTCTACCACATACATGCTAAACTAGGTACACTCACAAACCTAGGCAATTAACTCTTACCGATTCAAACATGTAGCACTCTCCAGGAGGTGAAGAGTGTTCGAAATGATGTCCATGACGTTCGGGTGAACTTTGGCACCAATTCCTAATCCGTAATAATTAGACGAGTCCTTGGAAGCACACACTCTAAAGTGCACCCTTTCCTCCCTTCCCGCTCTACCCTGACTCCCGACCCTCCGATATCTACCATCCCCATTCCCAAAGCGTCATGTACCATTAATTGATCTGCGAAAGAGGCAATTCACACGCCCACTAGATGTAGCCACCGACTTTCAACAAAAATCTTCCCAAATGGATCTGACATATTTGATTTGCAGAAGTGTTTCTGCTATGAAATAATAACTTCCTGCCAAGAGCAATCCCAATTAGGCACCGTATTATATATCGTTTCCCAATCATCTCAATTAGGGAGAGCTTGTTCCTAATTGGGACTAGCGGCTGGCTTCGAGTTGTCCGACGCTGTATTTGTTTTCCCCAGTCAGGGTATCTCGCTCATCGCCTATCACTTGCACTTGGTATTTTGCTCGGGACAATCACGGAAATTGACAAATACATGTGTATTGGCTTGAGAACGGAATAACATTCCATCCATATTCTCTAATCATCAGAAATTTGGCTCCATTGACATAAGGTATGATCCTGTTCGAATCGGCAAATACGCGCGACACGTCGGAAAAAGTTCCATTTCACTCTGTTTGATATGCTCTAATACTTGCCCAAGATCAAACCTTGATTGGTCAGTATACAAAAGGAGATAGACCCTTTACTATTTTTAAATAAAAGAGCTTAGCACACCAAGCACAGACAATTGGGTGTGTGTGGGGGGGTGCTCAAATCAAAATCCCGCTATTTGGAGTGGTGTAACGAAGCACAGACGAACTCCGTTCCTTCTTATTCTGCATGTCACAGAAGCAAGTCAGGCCTGGCACCAATAAGCATCGTGTAGTAGTCGCAAAGAGGCTTCAATCACGGGAACAAGTGACAGGAGACGATAATTCACCATGCCCACCAGAACCAGGTATTAAAAGTGTCGAGCGCCACTTGATAGACGGAAACAGCTACTCTAATATGGTGGGGAAGGAAAGGAAAGGACCAACCTCGAGGTCTGGATCAACGCCCCCAAACCCCAGAAAGCAAATTCTGTCGATTGCTTCTTATCCAGGACGCATGCGGGACCTTGTTCGCGGGACCAAATTTGCCTCCTTCAATAATAGGCGTTTTCTTATTACAATCGGTTTCCTTTCAGTTGGGCGCCGGGAGCGCTCATGGCTTGATGGCGTGAGGCTCTATCAACTCAATAAAATATCTTATGATACATGTGTGTCTACACAGGTACACTATTGTAGTTAGAAAGGGCGACCTAATTAATTGTTAGTTCTGCCTCAACTCCTGCCTCCTTCCCCTTGGCTGTCTCTATAAGCGAGAGGACACCGACGTGGAGAGTCAAATTGTAAAGGCACAGCAAGGGTATTGGCTTGGTCTGTGCTACAACTGGTATGACTGTGTGCTACTAGCAGCTACAACCGGAAAAACTCGTAGGTATCACAGCCAAGGGAGATACATGTAAGTACCTACATGTGGTGATACTCAGTCGTCCAACGCAGCCGTTAGCCCCCACCAAGTGAAAAAAAAAAAAAAAAAAAGGCCCTCAAGTGGGATAAAGGAGCCTCCACCACTGTGTATGTATGTAGAGTACCTACCTGTCTGTGCCAGCGACCATATCCCCTCCTCTACCTCCTCCAAATACGTGTGATTTCTAAATAGGCGACCTAATTATTTACTCAACGTGTTAATGCCCGCTTGCCATAAAGGAATCAAGCCTTACACTGCCTCCCCCGCAAAGGCAGGTTATACTTAGCCTCGCCATGTAAAATATAGTAATGTACATGAGTTGTGGAGATCACATGTGTCCCTCGCTTGATTTAAGTTATCGTTTGCGAGCCGAACGATGTGTGGAAGTGTGTTGCCCTATCAGATGCAAGCCACAATTTCTTACAGTTGACAAAAAGGGCCTGTACCTAAAAATCATATCTCCTACTCTAGATCCCCAGACAAGCTTTCAATGGTCTTTGCCCATGGTAGAGTAGCTAAAGATAACTATCGATACTGACACATCCTAAAGCTTCTTTCCTGTGATCTCCATGACGTTGACCAGTAGGTACATACATGTGGGGTAGATAACTACATGTAGAGATGCACAGGTAAATGGTGGACTGATCCTAACAGGCATCCTTAGCGGGGAGTTCCAAAACGTTACGGTTCTTATTTTTTCTGTCTCTCCATGAAATAAAAATATAACTCTTCTCGTGAAATCTTGGCCCTACCTATCACCGAAATATATACTCATATAGGTGCGTTTAAGCGTTACTCATCTACTATTTTGCGATATTCAAAGTCTTCGTCGATCCTGGCGACTATTGTCACTTGGATCTATCTATCACATTACCTATGTACCATAGGGAAGAAAATAAAAAATAAAAAAAAAAGAGGGCGTCTTCTGTCGGCTTGAAATGGTAAGTCCCGTTTGATAGAGGACCGAGCAGGGGGCCCGCGGCCGCGTTTGCTGCGCCTTCAGCGCCTGCATAAGATATTTTTTGCTTTTTTGCTCCATGTCCCGTGGTGCTGGGACTGAGCATCTGTTTCCTGGACCCGACGTTTCTTTGTTGCGCGAGAAGAGCGAATCGATATCCGTCATGGCGTGACTGGCAAGGTTTCAGAAGCATAGCCAGGACCGCAAGAGCTGTTTGAGCAACTGGAAACCCAATGTCAACAACAACACAACATCAATATGCTGACAGACGGCAGGCGAGACACCCTGAATTCGGGGTACGTTCTGCGGAGCTTGTTTTTTATGCCCGTTGTTCATCGGCTTTCGTGGGCGATCTAGCGTACAATACGTGCGGAGAGGAGTAGGTGCTGCTACGGTATGTAGAAATTAACGTTGTCTACCCCTTTTCGGATTAATAGTCTCTTTCCTTATTCCACCGTTTTTTGTCTTCGACCAATTACCATTGGCTACAAGGTGATGAGCCCAAAGATTAATGTGGAAAGCCACTTCAGTTAGCTATTTTTTCTCTACGTCCCGAGGAATCGTGAGTCGTTACTGTTAACTTACGACATTACATCTTTATTTTTACAATTCGCTATTCAT